TATTCCTTTTTGGTGTCACTGGTTCCCCGGCCGTCCTGTCCCTGAGACAGGGTCACGCTCCAGGGGCAGGTGTTTTAATTCATTAAAACACTCCACTTAGATCAGAGGTTCCTGGTCCCCTCCCTCCCCTGGGCGACATTTGTGGTCGACAACTAGGGGATGCTACTGGCCCCTAGTGGATGGAGGCCAGAGGTGATGCGGGAAAGTCTCCCACAGGGAAGAATTACTGAACATCAATAGCGTGAAGGTGGGGAAGCCCTGACCTAAGGCCTTCTGGGAGCAGGTGCCCGCCTCAAACCACCAAGGCCGAGATAATGAGCACCTGTTCAAGGCTGCGTAGAAGGGACCTGCAGCTGATGGTCCACGAGCCACATGCGGTCCACAGACTTGCTTCATTTGGCTTGTATGGGTCAATACAGTATCAATGTTTATAAATATTTTGGTGGATTTTACCCCAAGCCCCAGATTTTTAGCTTCTGGTGCGAAGTCAGAAGGATGGACGTGATTGGTGGCACCGAGTGGCAGCTGTGCCCAGAGACAGACATGTGGTCTCTTCTCACCTCCGTCCCCTCGTCCACATCTCTCACCCACGGCTCTGGCTTGGCCTCTTTATACATGTGAATCCGTGACCCCTGCACTTTTGGGGGGGGGGCGGTGCTGGTTTTGCCCTGGGGACAAACACTGACTCCCCAGGGATGGCCATGCACTGGCTCGAGATCACCTTTCTCTCCCATGGGCACCATTACTTTAGAATAACGGGGGGATATCTACAGGAGGACTGTATGAGAGTAATGGAAGCCACGGCGTCATGAGGTTGCCGGGAAGAGTGTGTCGAAGGAGAGCAAAGCAGTCCAGGGCTGACCCCTGGGGAAGGCAGAGAGAGGCAAGGGCAGCCAGGGGTGTGTGGAGCCACAGCCGGCACGGGGAGAGAATGTGCCAATGGAACTGGGTGTCCAATGCTGCGGACAGGAGGCTGAATGGAGTCCCTGGGTGGAAGCACGCGGCTCTGGGGCTGTGGAAGCGGCTTCTGCGAATGCGGGAAGTGCCCAGGGGCTGCAGCGGGAGGGGCGATGGGGACGTGTGGACTGCGGGGCAGACAGCTTTCCGCAGGTTTGTCTGTGAAGGAGGTGAGAGGTCATGTTACTGTGGTGAAAGATGGAGAATTAGTTGTTGTTTGGCTGTTGTTGGTTTTTTTGTTTGTTAATCCTCACCCGAGGATATTTTTTCCATTGATTTTTAGAGAGAGTGGAAGGGTGGAGAGAGAGAGATGTGAGAGAGACACATCGATTGGTTGCCTCCCAAACACGCTGGGAATGGAACCTGCAACCCAGGTACATGCCTTTGACCAGGAATCGAACCCCTGACCTTTCAGTCTGAGGGCGAACACCCTAACCACTGAGCAAAACAGGCCAGGGCTATTTTGTTTTCTTTAATCCTCATCTGAGGATATGTTTCCATTGGTTTCAGAGAGAGTGGAAGTGGGGGGGGGGGAGAGAGAGAGAGAGAGAGAGATAGAGAGAGAGAGAGAGAGAGAGAGAGAGAGAGAGGCATTGATGTGAGAAACATCACTTGGTTGCCTCCCGCACGCGTCCTGACCCGGGATTAAACCTGCATCGCAGATATATGCACTAACCCGGAGCCAAACCTGCAGCCTTTTGGGGCATGGACGATGCTCCGGCCAAGGGAAGCGAGCTTGTTGTTTTAAGTGGGGAGACCTGAATTTGTTTACAGAGGAAATAGTCTGGTTTTGTTGTGATATTGTGGATGTTAAAACCGGAAAAGCACATTCCCACCATGAAACATCTAGAAATGCTGCATAAAATCAAACAAACATCCTTTAAAATGCGCAGCTGGGCTTCAAGGAAGGAAGGGGAACCCCCAGGGGCCACACAAGGAGGAAGTTGAAAGCCAGAGCTGCTCTGAATTGCAGAGCTTGGCAATGAAGGGGTTGGGCCCTCCATTCACCTCGAGACTGGAGACGAGGCCTTGCCTGCGGCATTGAGAAGAGCAGGTTAGAAAAACATCTTCCCGCCGGGAGCAAACAGAACCTTGTCTGCCTCTCCCTGGGACCTGGGGGCAGTAGAAAGTCTCGCCTGAGAATTCATAACCAACGGTTCCCCTCACTTGAATTTGGGGCTCACGTTTACACCGTGGTCTCAGAAGCTCAAATAAAATTAGTAAAGAATGTGGTCCAGTGTTGGTAATAGCCCTGAAGTTCCCTGGCCAGGAGCAAACACAGGATCCCTAAGACACCCTTTCACACTGATCGTGTGGATTCCCACCCACAGGGCCCCGCTGAAGCCGAGTTCACAGCCCCAAACTAGAAAGCCCAAGAGGAAACCATCTGCCGTGAAAGCGAGGGAGCCCCGAGACACGCCCCTCCCCCCCACAACAGGACCAACCGCTAGGATGTTTCAAATGCCTGAAGACACAAAGGAAGGACTGAACACGGGGAAGTAACACGAGGGTGTTAGAAAGGAGAGGGAGGGGTCTGAAATGCAGAGAAAGGAGCAAGGTTTGTAAAACTGGTGCATGTCTTGCCCACCCACTCATCCACCCCCTCTCCTTGGGCTCCTGCTATGTTCCAGACCAGGTTCTGGGTCTGGGGATAGCAGGCTGGACGCTGCCTCAGGAGGCTCACGTTCCCCCGTGTGTCATCCATCTTTCATTCTAGACCAGCGGTTCTCAACCTGTGGGTCGCGACCCCTTTGGGGGTCGAACGACCCTTTCACAGGGGTCGCCTAAGACCAGCGGAAAACACATATATAATTACATATTGTTTTTGTGATTCATCACTATGCTTTAATTATGTTCAATTTGTAACAATGAAATTGGGGGTCACCACAACACGAGGAACTGTATTGAAGGGTCGCGGCGTTAGGAAGGCTGAGAACCACTACTCATACCATCCTGAGATGCCACAGCCAGAAAAGTCCCAACAGAGCGTCTTGCTCAGCTTCCAACTCTCTCGCTGCACAGAGGGGACTTTCCGAAGCCTCCGGGTCAGTGGTGACAGCCAGCCTGGGAGCCGGGCCTTGTCTCGGGGCCCCTTCCACACGTGGAGGCTCTGAGCGCTGCCTCTGCTCTGCTCCCCGGGGGCCTGATCCCTCCTGGGGGCGGAGTTCCCACCACCAGTCCTGTCAGCTGATCCTGAGGAGGCGACATCATTCCCCAGCCTGAGAGGCAGACGGGACAGGAACCCCGCCTTGTATTAGGGTTGTCAGTTACGTGCCCGTCTTATCCCACCCCCTCCACCCCCGGCGCTGCCACTGGAGAGACGGGGAGGTCCTCGAGTGTAGACGCCAGGTCTGATTCTTCCATCCCGGGCCTGGCTCAGGGGACGTGCCAGGACCCTGTGCTGGATGAGTGTCCCTGGGGAGCGGTCCCTCCGCCTGGGGCAGTGGTTCTCAACCTCGGCTGCAATGATCCCATTTGGGAAGCTATTAAACCTCCTGTCTCACGTTGCACTTCGCACTTAAAATGATTGAACGAGTGACTGAACGATGGGGGAAAGACAAAATAACACCAAATGAGAACGTCCAACGCAAACGATTTCTGATTCTGCTTGGAGGATGGGACTGTGGTGATCCTCCAGCATCTTGAATCTCGCATTATGTCCAAAATCTCATCGATTCTTA